ATACAACTGCATTTGGAGATGGAGACATTATGGAGGTAATTAAGGTTAAATAAGATCATAAGGGTGGGGCCCTGATCTGAAAGAATTGGTGTCCTTATAGGAAGAGTAAGGTAATTAGGAAGATGTGCAGGAATCCAGGTGGGTGTACAAAAAATACAGTGAAAGCCTGGGCAGGAGGAGAGAACAGGGAGGCATCTGTTTATGCAGAGCTGGTCTTTGTATCCATGAAGTCATTCCAATTAGCTAATGTGACATGCTGGGGACACACCTAAGTCTATATACCTAGATCCTGTCAAGGCTGATACACATAAGTTTCTCTCTCATGGCCTTACAAAGCCTGCCAACTATATGTGCTTTAATACACTTGATAAGAAAGTCACACTAACTGATACAATAATTGCTTCTCAAGGAAGTCTACAAGAGAACTGTAAGAAAAATTCAGAAAGGCAGCCCTATAAAAGTCAGGTTCAATTCTGGAAAGATCTGGGGCTTCCAGTAGCTGACTTGGGTTTGAATCAAGGCTCTCCCCATTTACAACTATTAAGACCTTGATCAAGTTACCTCACTGTTCTGAGCCTTAGTCACTAGTAAAACTGACCAGATAGACATGCTGTGAAGATCAGATGAAATCCTGAATCTTCATGAGGGCCTCAATGTGCTGAGCATAGAACAGATTCTCCCAGTCGGGGTAGTGCAATCTACTTTTATGTGCTATAATAAATTATAATTGTCAGTTCCATATCCAGCTTTCCCACTAGATGATAAGCCACTGGAGGACAGGAATCATGTGTGACCATATTCTTGCCTGGCCCAGAGTAATCCCTCAGGAAATCTCTGTAACATGCTGGAAAGAGTGACTGAATGAAGGGATGGCATCACTACCTCTAACCTGGACAGCACTGAGTACATGGCAAGCTCTTCATATGGAAGAGCAGGCTGACGCCCCTGAGGCTAGCCCCAGGCTGAGGGGCTTTGGTGACAAGGAAGGAGGCAGATAGGCACTTGCAATGCGCCAATTCTAAAACTCCAAGAGCTAGAACCCTGCAAACATTATGACCCTGTAGCCCAAATTTATAAATTTAAATTCTGGCTTCAAAAAATTCAAAGGTAACTCCCCACCAAGCCCAATTGTCCCAGAAAGCCAATTTCACCATAGAGGCAGCTTAGCAAACTGTCTTAGGCTCTCTTACCCGATGCCTCCCCCAATAAAAATGACTTCAAGTAAGACAGAGAAGAGTGCTTGGACAGAGGGATGGCTGAGGTCCAGTTGGAAATAAGCTTCAGCATCTGGACACAGTGACTGTACCAGTTGGTGCTCTGTGGAAAAAGCCTGGGCAAAAAGTGATGGTTTTTGCAAAACTTTCTGGAGAGTGTATCAACAAGCACGAGACAATCTTTGATGGGTGTTTGGTGAACTGAAGTAAATCATCCATGGGAATGGGGTATGTGCCCTTCTAAGAGGAAATAAATAGCAGCAGCACAAGCTTGAAATGAGTGAAAAACAAGCCCAAATCTCAGACAGATGAAATTGCAAAGGCTCCAGAGCCAGAAAAGATCCTATCCTATTTTTTTCTTCATCCTGAAGTTAACCAGATGGAGATTTTTTTTAAAGTACCAATCTATTCATATACTTGGAATGAAGGATTTTGCTTTGTGATGGAAGATCTGTATTTAATTGTAAAAATGAAACAAAATATCTTTTTTCCAAATCTAGAGTTTAGATAAATTTTGTTTCTTTTTTCTTTTTTCCCTCTCTTCTTTCCCCTTCTTTACTTCCCTCTTCTTCTTCTATCTCTTCCCTTCTGCTTTAGGTGATATATTTACAACTGCATGTTTAAAATATATTCTGGACAATGTAATAACGGAGCAGCCACTTTCAGACATAGCTTATGAGAGAATATGTACATATGAAACACGGAATAAAAGCAATGTAACTTCCTCTTATGGTGTTCTGTATGATGACAATAGGCTGTAAAACCGGTGATAAACCAGAATAAGTAAATGGAAAGGAAAGGTGAGTACCAATGGAAACAGGTAAAAAGGCCATTGACAGTGCATCAGGAATCTCTCCAGGCTGTGCTTGCTACCCTGAGTTTCAGTTCTTCATGTGTAAAATATGGATAATAACTGTACCTAACTTATAGGGGTATCAGAGGATTAAATAAAATAGGACATGAAAAGCTCTTGGAATTGAGACTGGGACATAAGTCTTCAAAATAAATATTAGGCATTGTGATTATTATGAGTATCATTCAAGGATTAACACGATTTTATACATATATATATATATATATATATATATATATATATATATATATATATATATAAATCTTTCCCACGGGAAAATGTACTCAATAAGGGACAATTGTTGTTGTTATTATTATTACCATCATCATTGTTATTATTTTTATATCTCTTTATTTTATAGGTGGTTTCTGTCTCTTTGCTTGGCCTCTCTGGACTGACGATTTATTGGACAGTCTGTTTTGTTCTTGATTCAGATTTTGCCCCCATTATGCTAACTTCTCGACTTCCTTAGATTTTGCTTTTTGTAACCCATGGGTAAGTCAGTCATACCCCATTCCTATGTCTAATGAAACTCTATACATAGAACTGCCCTAAGTGTAACTCTACATGCAACTTCATTGGTTGATGATGCAAAATCAACTAGCTAGATAAAGGCCAGAAAGTCCCATGATTCTTGTCAAAAACCATAGTGGACTATTATGAAGATTTTATTAATGGTCAGAAAAGGGTCATTTTTTAAAATTTAAATTCAGGCTTAGGAAACAGGCATAACGAATTCTTGTCCACCAAGATACGTCATAATGTTTGGGCAAAGATGGCTTATATCCATAGCAACAGAGCCAACTCTGAGTCAAATACTGGTGAAAGCATTTCTAGACTGACACAGACGGTCAATTAGTAAACTAACTCTCTGAAAACCTGTTGATGGACAGCTTCATGGACAATGCATCCTGCACAAAGAGTTAGTTTACTGGATTGTTATCCTTGTTAAAAAAGACTCTGGGTTGTGTCTGTTATGACTTCTGGTTCTCCTAAAGGTAATTATACCATGATGTGGGCTTGAAAAGGGCTATGTTTCAGTAATGGGTTTTCTATGTGTCATAGAAAGGGAGTGGATATTTAAGTGGAAAGTTGTGTAAATACATAACACTAGTTTAAAGAGGAGACCGTAAAGTTTCAATCCCACTGTACCTTAGGCATAGAGTGATGTCTTTTTCTTGACTTTTCTAGAAAAGTCTAATTGGTTATTAAGACCTATCAGACGTTATTTAATTTATACTCACTGTGCTTCCCTACTAGACGATGAGCTCCTTAAAACCAGGGACTAATGCGGGGACTAATTCAGGTATCTCTACAGCCTGGCACAAGAGTGAAGGCACTAAACATGCTCTTTGAATCCAGCCACCCACCTATGCGTGCATCAACTTTGAGAGAGAACTTGAGGCAGCTAAGAATAAAAGAGAAACACATGAAGAAATGGAAAATTAATGGTTATTTGTATCCATATCCAGCCTGAGATCAGATCACTTTTGATTTGGCTGGACATTTAGAAAAGCTGGTAGGGGAGCAGACCATAAACAGATGATTTCAATACAACATAGTGAATGTGAGGCTGAGTAACTGAGCCTGGATCTTACTGTCCCTTGCTTTCCACATTTAATCCTTCCAAGGTCTGCTCATCTCCTGACCTCAATTCTCAGTCATTATTGCCACTGTCCATTATTGCCAAAGTCCTCATGGCTTTTTGTCTGTGGACTAACCTATTAAAGCTGGTCTCTCTTCACCCAGCCGTGCACCCTCAGGCCTTCTTCCTGACGGCTGCTAGCCAGTTTTTATAACAGAGATCTGACAACACCCATCACTATTCCAATCTTTCACCTACTCTCTGTGGTCTACTACCTGAAGTTCAACTCCTTAGCATGTTTTACAAGGACTTCTGTTTGGGCCCTGCCCAGCTCTCTAACTTTTATTGTAAGTCATTCTTCTAAGAACAGTTTATGCCACAACTGAAATTCTGCAATTACTCTCAAATATGCCTTGCTATTTTTCACTCCCCTGTCTTTGTTCCTATGCAAGTTCTCATACCTAGAAGAATATCCCTACCTTTCTGTGTCTGGTTGGTCCCTATTTATCATTAAGGTGCAGTACAAATGCTTTCTCCCCTGAAAAGAATTCCTTAATCTAGCTTTGTGCGAACTCTGTGCCTTGTACCTCTGGTATAGTACTCATCTCACTTTTATAGATCTTCTGTCTTCCCTATGAGATGACCCCATGAATTCAACACATTTTCTCCAAGCACCTTCTACGAACCAGGCACTGAGCTAAATACAAAGAGAAGGATGATATAACCCATGCCTTTAAAGAGTGCGTAGATTTCTGGAAAAGACAGATTATCTCAGAATGCGCTAAGAACTGGAGTTACATCTTAAAGATCAAGTAAAACTAAGTAAAGAACTCTCCGAGTAGGGAAAGAAGCATATACAAAGGCACAGAGGAGCAGAATAACAGAAGCCATGGGGAAGCTGTGAGTAGGGCAATCTGGCCTTCGTGACAAGTACATGGGTGAGACTGGAGGGGACAGACCACAAAGGGAATGATGTGCCCAGAAAACTATCTGAGCTATGTCCCGAGGGCTACAGGGAACCACTGAAGGATTCTGCCTGGAGATTAACATAGTACTTTTTACCAAGTAGAATATTACTCCTGTTGCCGTGAGAAAAATGGGTTGTTCTGTGAAAGAAAGATAGGTGAGAAGATGGGTTAGTCATCAATGCCTGGATCAACATTGATTCCTTTGGCAAACACGGGCTACATATGCTCCATATGTGAGACTTTGTGCTAAGAGAAAGTTAATTCTTCTGATGTAGGAGTCTGCAAGCCTTCCAGATCCTGGGTATACGGGGAATGTGACAAAATGGACTACTCAAGGGTGTAAAAACAGTAAAGACCATATGAAGAAAGTGTCAACTTACCAATTTTCCAGTAACGCTCTGGCCACCTTCATTCAGCCAGAACCCAGGGACCATGGCTGAGAAATAAGGGCCCCAGACTCCTGGTACAAAGATCGGGTTTTTGCTGATCTGGAAAGAAAGGGGCAGAGTATGTGAAAATATTGTCCCTCAAGGCTAGAAGGAGCCTTATCCTCCTCCCATGTGATGTTTCTATGACCAGCTTCTTATTAAATACCTTTGACGGTGGGGAAGTCAGTCCTGACAAAGGACGGGCCTGGCTTCACCTCTGGAAACCTTTCTGATAAACTCATTCAGGTGTCAAGGTAGCAAAAGAGATCATTTTGGAAAGAAACTGATGTGACAGCTCCTGGCCAACTCCCTCTCTGTGGTAGACTGATTGTAATAATGGTCCCCATTTTCTAGCCCTCCCTGCTTCCACCCACTGTGCAATATGACTTCGCAGCACCTCTTGTTGAGAGGTGGGGTTCCCAACCCTTGAGTCTGGGTCAACCTTGTGACTTGGTTTGGCCAACAGAATGAGGCGGAAGTGACACTGTGCACCGGTTTTCCAGGTTTAGGCCTCGACAACTGTGTGCTTCTGCTCTTCCTTCTCTCTCTCTGCCACAAGAACATGCCCCAGCGAGCCTGCTGGATGGATATGCAGCAAGTTGAGTCAGCTCAGTTCTCACACGTGATGTTTCAGATACGTGAGAGGGCCCAAACAGGATCGGCAAATCCCCGCAGTCCTCCAGCAACTGGCGAGCCCGAATCACCAGCATCACCCAGCCAATCGATAGACTTGTGAACAAAAATACATGTCCTTTTGTATACCGCTAGGATTTTATGTTTGTTTCTAACCTAGCATTTTAATGGCACGAAAAAACTGATATATCCCCCTCCTTCTACAAACACTTATTAGACACCTAATAGCATACCATTTCTCTCAACTGGGTGCTGAGGACACAGAGATGAATCAGAAAGAGTTCTTGTCTTAAGAAGCTCCTCATCTCAGGGTAGTTGGATAAGTAAATAGTCAAATAGAAAACAGTGTGGTCCATGGGATGGTAAAGACAAAACATAGGATACTGTGGAGGGGCACAGTGGGTGAGGAATGAAATGGTCCAGAGATGGCTTCTGAGAGAATGGGACATAAGCTTAGACTAGTAAGATTTAGCCAGATGAATTAGAACAGGCACTCCATGTCAAGGGAATAGCTTGAACAAAGACATGCAGGTGAGAGAGATGCTCTCATTATTCAAGATACGGCAACGTCTTTTTTTGGTAGCAGACCATGGAAGCCCATTAGGTGTTAGGAAAGGACATCAAGAGATGGACTGGGACAGGCAGGGATGGACCACGTGTTCACTCATCTGGAATGGCACGAGCTTCTCATCCACCCAGCAGGGATGAATGCTGAAGTGATATTATGGTTGTGGAAGGGTGTATTAAAAGGTAGGGAGGAAAAAGGAGTTAGGCACGCTGGGTCTACTCCTGCATGTCTTGAGGCTGGGCAGAGAATCTACTCATTCATTTATTCTACAAATATTTATTCAGCCCTTACTACACCTGACCCTGGGGATATAGAAGTGAACTGAATATAACCACAATTTCTGCCCTCATAAAGTTTATAGTGCAGCACTTCTTTAAATGTCTGAGCTCTAACTATTCTGGTTCTCTTTTCGCTAAATGAGTGATTCCTCAAATCAGCAAGAATTCCACCCTCCAAAGAGGAAGGGGGTGAGGGAAGGCAGGAGACTATACAATATTATCAACTTTAAACTTTGCCAAATAAAGGTAATTTATAAAAGGGTAAATTTAACACCTAAAGGAAAAAGAATAATCTCAGGGGGAAAAAAAGGTTTGTTTGTTTGTTTGTTTTCCTGCAAGAAAAGACAGTTTAGCTTTCATTGACATAGTCACTCATTTCTTTATGGGTTCAACAGATGTTTCCTGAGCTCCTACTGTGATCCAGGCACTGAAAGCAAATGTAAACAAAAGAGCATAGTCTCCACCTTCACGGAGCTGTTCTCTTCAGAGGGCGGCAGACTAGGGAGACCAATGATTCAGGTTTGGCCAGGATTCTCCTAGTTTTAACACCAGAAGTCCTATGTCCTGGAAAACTCTCAGTACTAGGCAAAAGGGACAACTAGTCACCCTAAGATGGATATCACACAAATGTATACATACAAACTGTGATAAATAAATGAAAGACTATCAAAAGGTATTATAAGAGCTCATAAGTGAGGGACCTAATATAGTCTAGGGGTCAGATAAGGCTGTTCTGAAGAAGTGATATTTGAATTAAGATGAAAACATACATAGAAATTATTCAGGTGTGAGTATATGTATATCTGTCTGTATTTGTATATATATGTGTGTGTGTGTTTGTGTTGATATATGATACAGAGAGCGTTCCAGACAGAAGAAGCACACACTAAATGGTCTTCATTTTTGTCACTCTGTCTTTGCCAGTGGAAATTTTATCACATGCCAACTCTAGAAACTACTGCCCTATACTGCATGCCCCAGCTGCTTTGGGGCAAATAAGACAGCCCATGCCAAGCACTTGGGATCCAGGGTTTGGACAGGTGGATGGACACCCACCAAAGTCAAGCCATCTCTTTTCATGCCCTGCACCCCTTCTCTTCCAGAACTCTTCTAGCACCATTAGACAGATTAGTTTCAGAGAGGTTGCACGTTGTCCACAGTCACACAGGTAGTAAATGGCTGAGGTGGGACTTGAACTCAGGTAGATACTGGCCTCAAATCCCAGGATATGCTTTTTAAAAAACAAACAAATCTTGTATACATAAATTGCTTAGGAGAGCTTTGCATCACCTCCCCCTACCCAAACCCCAAACCCCACGATTTAAAGATGCTCCTGCATCAGCTTTTGCAGAACTCCATTGGCAGACTGGGCTCTGCTGCTCAGAATGGCAGGTGAAGGCTCTGCCTGGCTCTGTCCAGAAATTTCTGAGTTGACTCCTGCTTGTGCTCACTCATTTGGAATGGCACACGCTTCTCATCAGATATCAGGACTCTGATGGACAAGGACACAGAAATATGTTCCCCAGAGCACCTCCAATCACTCCCAAGCTCTGGGAGAAAACAAGTAATAGTTTGTTTTGACAGAGAGAGAGAGTGAGCACATTCATGTATTTATGTGTGCTTTAATCCTTTGCAATAAACCTAAATACTTAAAAATATTTTTTTGTGAAAGCTCTTTCCATGCTGATGGCTATCCTGGCCTGAAGGCTGCTCTGTGATCCAAAAGGAAGGAGCACAGTTTACTCCACTAATGACAGGTGTCCGAACAGGACACTGACTTTCCAGCAATAATGTGCTGTTGGCAACAACAGCAGCTACGATTGACTGGGTACTTACTAAAGGCGATATTCCAAGCACATGGCAGGAGTTAAACCACTTAATCTTCACAACGACCCTAAAGGGAACAGTCTACCATTATTCCTATTATACAGATGTGTAAACTGAAGCAGAGACTTAAATAGCATGCCCTAGGTTATAAAAATACAAAGCAGCCAGGCTCTATAGGTTCTGTATTTGTCTCTGCCAAAGTATGCCCTTGATTTTAGGCTACCATTGATTCTTTGAGTCCTTCATTTACTTTTCAAGGGCAGAAAGCAAGGGTTATTAGAGCCAACATAGACTCACTCAGATTGAACCAACCTCCTAGCCTTGATGACAAGTAGGTTAGGGAATCTTCATGAGCAAAAGGCTTTTGATCAGTTTTCCCCCATACACTTGTGAAGAGCAGAGGAGAAAACAAGGGTTGAGTCAAAGATCTATTTGATTCTATCCTGACTACCATGTTCCAGCCAGGTGACCTTATAAAAGGTAATCTTTCTGAACCTCAGTTTCCTCAGTTCCAAAATGGGAAGAATGATATAAATGTGGGAGGACTTTTGTGAAAATGAAATAAGCTGTCACATATAAACAGCTTATTATATGTTAAATACCAAGTAAACATTAGTTCTCCTTGAAATGAGGCTTGCATGATGGGATAGTCAGGTGACTGGGATGAACGGCCACAGCCAAAAGTAACTGCAACCATTAAGGAGGTCTCTAGAGTCATTCTTCATTTTATTTAGTCAATGGTCTTAATAATGAAGTAGAAGATGACAATACAGAAGCAAAGTTTATATTTTCAGATGGTATAAACTTGGAAGGACTGCTTATCGTGAGCCATGTCCAAAACAAGATTCAAACTTACTTTAAGAACTAGAACATTAAGCAAAATACAGCAAGAAAGTAGTTAACATTTATTTGATCATACAGTTAAAATTCTGCACATAAAAGGTACCGGTAATATTCTCTTCCATAATATCCTTTTTCATGGGTCGTGGTACATGAGTATTCAATTTAGTATTGTTTAAAGTGTATGTAGACCTTTGACACATTCTTTAATTAAGTGTGATATGAATAAAGTTATAAAAACCTGCAATAAAACAAAACACTTGGGACTTCCCTGGTGGTCCAGTGGTAAAGAATCTGCCTTCCATGCAGGGGATGCAGGCTCGATCTCTGGTTGGGGAACTAAGATCCCACATGCCACGGGGCAACTAAGCCTGTGCGCCACAGCTACTGAGCTTGCGTACCTCAACTAGAGAGCCCACATGCCCTGGAGCCCACGCGCCACAACTAGAGAAGAGAAAACCCGCATGCCACAACTAGAGAGAAGTCCACAGGCTGCAAGGAAGAGCCCACGCGTCACAACGAAAGACCCCGCGTGCCGCAATGAAAGATCCTGCATGCCACAAGGAAGCTCCTGCATGTGGCAACTAAGACACGATGCAGCCAAAAATAAATAAATAAATAATTAGAAAACCAAAATAAAAACAAAACATTTGGTTGCACACTATATGCTAGGCACTGAGATCAGCAACAAGGTTATAAAAATAATAAGGCAAAACAACAACAACAATAATAATAGAAGAAGAAGAGAGATGAGGAAGGAGGGAGAAGGAGGGAGGGGGAAGAGGAAGGAGGAGCTGGAGAAGAATTAACAATAAGGCATGGCCCCTCCTCCTCAAGGAGCTCCTAGTCAGGCTGGGCAGACAGAAGTGGAAATAGAAAAATTACAACGAAACATGCCAAGTGCTACAGTGAGG